TCATCTTATGAATTAGATGATTTTTGGGTTCCGAAAATAATATTTGAATGGATTAAAGAAAATTTGTTTACAAAAAAAAGACGATATAAGAGTATAATGATTGTGGGGAATACTCGTTCAGGTAAAACTGCTTTGTTTAGATCTTTAAAATTACCACATATATACTATTGTAAGCTTAGAGAATCAAAACAATGGAATAATAATGCGAAATACGTGATTCTTGATGATATTGATTTTTTTAGAAATAATGGTGATCAAAAAAAATCAATAATGTATACGTATCGAGAAATGTTATTTTGTCAGGAAGAATTTAATTTACGAACGGCTTATTCGAAAACTATTAAAAATAAAGGTTCAAAACCTTGTGTGGTTTTGTTAAATGAATCAGGAAATCCGTATTTAATTGAAGATGAAATTTTTCAAAAAGAATTACGACAAAATTGTTTGATAATTAATATTGGAGATTTCGATTTACGAAAAAAGGATGAGGATGGAAATTTAACAAATGAATCTTTGCGTTATGGTGGAAGTGTGGTTATTAGTTATATAGATAAGGATGGGGATGAAAAAGAATTGTTGTTAACTTTGGAGGATTTCGAATATGATAAAACGTTAAATTATGAAAATGGTAATGGTAAACGTAGAATGAGTTATGAGGAAAATGAAGGGGGGAGTGAAAATATAAAACGTAGCAGATTTGATGAATCGGGTGAATGTAGTAATACTAGTAATAATAGTTATATAGAATTGTCTGAAGAAGATTAATTTGAAATTTATTAATAAAAAATGCCATTTTATATTTATTTTATTTCACGTCAAAATATTCAAAATACTAGATATTTAGGAATTTTTTCTGATGAAAGTGTAGTTGATGATTGGTATAAAGCTGTATTAGCATTATCAAAAAAGAATCCTGGTGAGGTTAAATATTCTATTGAGAAGGTATCTCGGGAATGGTACACATTACCGCATTCAGATCATGTTATTCATGTAACTCGAAATGCTCCTGAAAATGAATTAAAAGAATTTAAAGGAAAATGTTTTTGGTTATTAATGGATGATGTGGGTATGTGTATGATAGATATTTTAAAATTGTTTTACAATATTTCAAATTATTTCAAATTTTTTATTTTCTATTTAGGTGGTAGACATTTGCCATTAATTAATAATAATGGTAGTAATTCTGGTGGTGGTTCAGGTAATAGTGGTAATCCTAATAATCCAGGATTAAATACTGGAGGATCGACTAGAAACATATCTGGTAATCCTGGTTCAAATACAGGTCAAGGAGGTAATCCAACTGGTGGAAATACAGGAGGTTCAGGAAACAGTACAGGATCTAATCCAAATGAATCAGGTGCTAATAAACCTAATTCTGGATCTGGTTTAAATCAAAAACAAAAACTTGCATTAGATGAGATATTTAAAAATCTTCAAATGCAACGAACCGATAATGACGATCAAGATCTTGAAGAACTTAGAAAGGTTTCACAAAAACTTGCAGAATTACTTAATATGCAAAATGTCAATAAAAAAATAAATTTATAGTTTTATTATAATTTATTAAATTTATATCATACAATATTTAGTTTATTAAAAGATTTATCTAAAATATCATCTATATTATTTTCTTGATTTAAAAAAGGATATGCTTCTCGAAAATAACTTAAAAAATTTTTTAAATTATCGTAAAAAAATTTATCAGAATTATCAATTTTATTTAGATAACTTTCAAAATACCAATAAACCGAACTTATTTTTAATTCTTCGTAAAAATTCTTTTTGATTTTAATATTGTTAAATCTATGATCTTTTCTTAAAAAAGTATTTCCTAATTCATTAATATCATCAATTAAAGCATCTGAATATTGTAATATTTGTATTTGGTTTTTTAAATTTAGTTGTTTGATTTTACTATAAGGAAGATCTACAAATTCATTAACGATAAACATTCCAAAAATAGGTATTTTATATTCTGATAGTTTCTTATCAAATTTTAAAATATCTTCTTTCATTCCATCGTAATAGTAATTGTGTGAACAAGATTTATTATTCTTATTTTTACAATTTATGCATAGATTTCGAAATTTTGCTTGAATGTAGAACGGGTATCCATTCCATTCACATGAGATATCGACACCATCATCACCAATAATATTAAAATTTCCTATTCTATAAAAATCTATATTTTCAATGGTTCCATCTTTTGCGATTTTGAGATTTTCATCATACATTATCTGTATTTTACCAAATCGTAGAGATAATTTTTCATTTTGTTCATATGTAGATTTATGTAATAATTTTCCACCGTTGAATTGGTAAAATGTGAATTTCTTCGGATGTAATTTATGCTTCTTCAGATAAAGAAATAATTTATTTTCAAAAATTTCTCCAGAAATTACACCAAAATGTTCAACATTATATTCAAATGATAAAGTTTGTGTTTTTTCTAATCGATTCATTTTGCTTTAATTGATAATTGAATTAATAATATAAATATAAATAAATTAAAATTTGTTGATTAATTTGATGATGGAAATAAAAATAAAAATTTACTTGATATTTTTATTGATCATTTTATATCTTGTGAGTGATGTTAAACAGAGATATATCTGTCAATGTTGTGGTGGTAATCATGCAGCATCAAGTTGTGCAAGACCATGTGTTCATCCGATGATTATTCGAGAGTTAATTTTACGTGTGAATATAGATCGAAGCGGATATTTTGGATCAAGACCAAAAACTTACACACCGGTTATTCAAAGAAGACCGAAACAAATACAGGCGCAGGTACCTGGGAGACCTAAAAGAGGAGGACCTAAACAAAATCAACAAAATATACCACAGATTAAACAAATACCAATAAAACAAAGACCTGTAATAAGAGAAGATCAAATAAGAGATGATCGGATAGTTGGTGATCAAGCAAAACAAATTATAATTCAACCAAAAATACCAATACCTCGTCAATTACCGATACCTGTATTAGAACCACAATTAGATCGAGGTGTACAAATAAATATACAAGAAGAAATATGTTCTATATGTTTAACAGCATTTGATATTGAAAATTTAGGTGATGTAGTGATACCATGTCGAAATAATCACATATTTCATTTTCGTTGTATTAATCGATGGAATCGACGTGCAATCACTTGTCCTATATGTCGTATACCATTACAGCCTGATGAATTATGGAGAAATGTACTACCAGAAAATATATTGAGACCACCAGACGCGATAGCTTTACAAGGATATAGAGAAATTCAAGTAAATGAACTACCAGAAGAACAAATAATTATTGAAGAAGAGGAAGAATTCGATCAACAAGATGTTTTAGATTGTCTTATTTGTCATATATCATTACATCAAGGTGGAAATGTCATACAATTATGTAATAATCAACACATGCCTCATTATATACATGAAGATTGTGCAAATGGATGGTACAGAATGCCAAATGTTGCACAAACTTGTATAGTGTGTTTTCAACCTCTTTTACGTCGTCGAGTAGGAAGAGATCATATATTACAAATAATGAGACGAAATCGAGATCAGAGATTGAATTTAGAACGAGTTAGAAGGAGAATGGAACGACGAGCTAGGAGGCGAATAGAAGAAAGACAAAGAGATATGGATCAACAAGTAAGGGAGGATGTAGATGTGATTGATAATAATGTACAACAAATAGTTGTAGAAAAACAACCACCACCATTACAACAAAATGAAGATAGAAATATGGATCCACGAGATTTTACAAGATGTTCTATTTGTAATACACCTTTAAGGGAAGCTATGAATGGTAATCCAGAAGTAGTAAGGCTTT